CCGGCGGGTGCGCGGTGGTGGACCCGTGGGCCGCCGTGATATGCGGATTCGTCGCCGCCTGGGTCCTCATTGGATTCAACAAGCTCGCCGAGATGGTCGGATACGATGACCCATTGGAGGCGGCTCAGCTCCACGGCGGTTGCGGGGCATGGGGGATAATCTTCACGGGATTGTTCGCGAAGAAGGCGTACGTGAACGAGATCTACGCCGGAAACCCAGATCGGCCGTACGGTCTGGTGTTCGGCGGCGGAGGGAAGCTATTGGCGGCGCATTTGGTGCAGATCCTGGTGATCATTGCGTTTGTGAGTGCGACGATGGGGCCTCTGTTTTATGCACTGAAGAAGCTCGATCTGCTGAGGATATCGGCTGACGAGGAGATCGCCGGGATGGATCCGACCAGCCATGGCGGATTAGCGTACGAATACACAGATGATGAACCCAAGAAGACGTTCATGGGGACGAAGATGGAAGCTTAATCTCTACTGTTTGAATGATCCCTCATTGGTGTCGAAGATGGATCGATGTTTGGTACAGATTCTAGGGTTTGGTCGGTCCTTCTGCATTGAAATAATATTATTATTAGATCTCCGTTGAAGCATTTGAAGATGATGTTAGATTTGCATATCCATGCAGTTTACTACTTGGCTAACTAGCACTATCTATTTTTCTTTTTTCTTTTTTTCTTTTTTTAAATTTCCATGTCGATTTTATGTATGAAATTGGACGCACATAACATGAATGCAGTGAGTGTTTGAATATAATATTCATATTGGCCATATAAATAATTCACAATATTTTTTTAAAAAAAAAACTAAAGTACTTACACTCCCAATTACATGCGCACGAAAGAGCTCTGCGTGTTCGCGAATTTTGTTTTTATAACGGAGGATCCCTAACGGTAACTGCTACTATTTCAGTGCGCTGATTAGGTAAACTTCCGGCAGAGAAACAACCTTTATATATGGATTATATAAATCCAGAAATTACCTCCCACCAGTTAGGAATCGAACACTCAACCTTGGAGTTACCTCCTACTCCAACCTTGACCACTCGCCCACGATCTATTGGGTAATATTTTTGTCTCCGGTCAAAGATTTTTTGCAAAAAATTGTGTGGATATTTCATTCTTGTAACTTGTAAAAATACTTAAAATTTTCGATCCACAAGGTACCTTATCCTCAAATTGGCTATAATATATATCCTTCACAATTAAAAAATTGGCTACAATATATATCACATACATACATATATATATATGTATATAAACGTAAAAGGGGCATCGAGGACTCATGCAGAAGGCACGAGCATAATTAATGTATTCCACGCATACGAATGCGACAAAAGCCACCCCCGGCACAATCGACAAAAAAGCTTAGGCTTTCAAATTAATTTAATCGCTCATTCTGATCCTAAAGTTACAAAATGAACAAAATAAAAAATAGAGGGGTCATTTCGTAAGATTTTCAAAATAGAGAAAAACTATCGAATAATGAATTAAAACATTGAGAACAAAATATAGACAAAGAGTGGATGAAACCTAAATTTGGTAGTTTAACTGGTAAAAGTGGTTACAAAACGTATGTTTCGTTTGTAGTTTGAATTTTAAATCCGGGATGTATAATCTAAATGATACGGTTAACTCTCGGTTTTGGAATTAGTTTGATTTTTTATATAAAATACATAGTTATAAAAAATGAAAAAAAGAAGAGTGGGTGGATCTAAATTCTAAATGATGTATGGATCTTCAAGAACCCATGGATTACTGAGTCAACCCTTTGACCGTACCATCAAACCCAAACCCAAGCAAACTCTATCGATTTTCGTCCATTGAAATTAGATTTATATTTACCACCTAAGCTGTTACTCCAAGAACAAGGCCAGCATTCAATGGTCAGTCAAAAGTCTGTATGTGTTGTAGGAATGCATGCATTTGGCCATAACAAGAGCATTCAAACCACGATTAAATGGCATAAAATTCATAAATTATTTGATGCCATATAAAAGTATCGGTGTATTTCGGTCCATAATTATTCAGTTCAGTACTAAGTCTTTCTCTCTATATATATACACACATACACGTCAACATTATTGATTTAGCAATCGATTTTAATAAAATACTGAAAAAATAGTATAATCCTATTTACTACT